ATTCTTGATCAGGGTAAAATAGCGATATAGCCATGTCTAAACGAATGGAGATAGATCGCCCAAATTTGCATAGAGTCGTCCTTTGTCTGCAGGCAGGTCAAGTTCGAAGATGGGCTTTATCGGTCCAGGTTTAGGCATAGCTCCCATATAAGGGTACCCCCAAATTTTCGGTATTTTGGGGTTCTTGAGCGGGTTTTTCAACCGATTTCGCTGAAATGTGCTTCATTGGGTTCTTATTGGGTACTTAATATCACCGCAAAAAATTATAAATATAGGTCCACTTTTTCTGGTAGCACCCATATAACGGTACCTCCTAATTCGCAGTATTTTGGGGGTTTTGTTCGTATTTTTCCGCCGAATTAGCTGTAATTTAGTATTTTGAGTTCTTAATAGGTACAAAATATCTCCACAAAATATTATGAATATAGGTCCATATTTTCGGATAGCCCCCATATAAGGGTACCCCCAAATTTTCGGTATTTTGGGGTTCTTGAGCGCGTTTTTCAACCGAATTCGCTGCAATTTGGTATTTTGTAGTCGTATATGGTATCTCCCTACCAAAAATTATTAATATTCGCCCCCATTTTGGGGTAGTCCCCATATAACCCCCTTTTTTATATTAAAATAGTTATCTGATTTGTTCCGCGATTTGAATTCGGTTCTAAGACTCTGTTGTAATCATTTCACCTGCGGAGAATAGCTATATTAAAAATTAGAACGTAAGGTTCGATAATGAACTATAGCCGCATTTAGATCTAGCCCCTGTGTGGAGGTTCCAGAAGGAGTGAACCGAAATTCCCCACCTTCGAATTTGAACTAGGTTTGGAAGAAATAATAATATGGGCAAAGTTTGGATGAAATCTAATCTTTCTGAAACGGATGGGGTCTAGAACCAATATTTCACCGTATTAATGTGTATACACCCTCATTAGCCATAAGGCTGGGGGTATAATTATCCATTAAAATTTTCTGAAATTTGTATTATGGTTTACATAACCCATTTTTGGTATGTTCCCTATATTTTCATTTCTAGTACCTGTCAGTATATCTATGGTGGAGGGTATCCAAAGTTCGGCCCGGCCCAACTTAACGTTTTTTCTCTTGTTACTTTTAAAATGAATCTCCAAAAGGTTATTTATTTTTTATTTTTACATTTTTATTGAAATCGATTGCAATAAAGTGCTCATTTATTTGTATACATTTTTTAATCATGTTTAAAGTTTTGTGAACTTTTAGGTTTGCATATATATTAATTGAAAATAGTAGTATATAACTTACATTTAATAAAGATTTTGTTTAAATTATTTTTCTTTTTTTTTCTTTTTTGTAAATATGCCTTCGATTGTTTTTTATTTTTGTTTTTTTAAAAATATATATTTTTTAACTAAAATTTAAAAATAATTATTAATAAATGATAGTTTAGTATAACAGTTGTTTTTTTTAATGTTATATATTTTTTATTAAATTAAAATAAAAGAAACAGTGGTGGAGAGAGATAGAAAAGAGAGTATAATTATGGAAGACCAATAGCCATGAAAAAAAACCGGATTAAAGATATCAATAATTTAAATTTTACAGAAATATTTTGAACATCTACTTTCTTCTATTTAATCGACACATAATACATTTACGCTGGAAATTAAAAAACAAAAATAATTTATTATCAAAATTCGCCATTTTCCATTATCAAAGATCGACTTCGAGGCATTTCGAACTGAAAAAGTCGAAAATCGATTTACATATCCCTACTATATGCAACCATGTCATGCCGTCACTAATCACGTCACTGTCTCCATTGATCTTCCACTTAAAGTTTTATCGATTGGAAAAGGAATCATTATTTTAAAAATATTGTTGTTAAAAAGTAGTTAAATTTAAAGTACTACGTTGCAAAAACACATTTTGAGGTTAGATAAGATTCATTTAAATTACTATTAAAAAAATGATTAACAATAATATAGATCACAATTTGTTATTTAGAAATATGAAAATATATTTATGTGTATGTTCATTAAAAAATTGTTATTTTATAATCAAGAACTGAAATCTGTAGGTCAGACACTGAAGATTCTGCTAAAAACAAATTGTCACATTTTGTAATAGGGATTTCAGATGAGAGAGGAGGGATCACAAAAAGAAATTTAAATTTTTCAAGAGATTACTTTAATTTATTTTATAAAATTCACCACTAGTATAGAAATTTTGGAAAATGTGAATTCAATATTTTTTGAGGAGGAAATACACCTTTCTCAAAATCTGCATAACAAGGGTGATTATTTCAAATATTACTCGTTCATCAGTTTCATTTCCGTTCCCAGTCAATCATTCAAGGATCATCATCAACACACTTTAAAAAAGCTCTTTGAATTTCAAGGCGGACAAAAAAATTGGCATAGATTTTCCCTTAGAGTTATTCGAGATCGGTGAATTTTATTCTCGAGAATGTGGTTTTCCTAGAGAATAGAATTCCTTACGGGCTTATTCTTTTTTTAGTTCCATTCATTGCTCAACGTCAAACAGAGGACAAACTGGTCAAAAACCACGAATTTTTAGGAGAAAATAGACTATTTTTAGTGAAGACAATGAACCCATTCACCCCTATTATAAAAAAAATTGGGAATTGTGAATTCTGACGGTACCTGTCGTTTGCTTCTATTATGAAACCATCAATGTCTGACCTCTGAATTAGAATAATATAAGAGCTCCGTATACCCACGATCTATTTAATTCTTAAGACATGGGCTTTGTCCAGAATTCGATTTACGTATCCCTACAAAAGAAACATTGCCGATATATTCACAATGACGAATGAATACTTTGTCCATTGCCTGTTTTATAAGGTCGAACAGGAATATCAGCTGCATCTCAAGTTTCTTTTTTTTCCATTATTGTGAATTGATTTCCATTATAAAAACGTAAACAAAGTTCACATTATTGACATTAGACTTGAGGAAACCCAGCAGACTCTCGCTAGTTCGGTGACCTTATTAATAGATCTTGTCTAAATCCGTTGTTGTGAATTGACTTCGAACTATGAAAACGTAAGTTACATCCCTATAACCGCATAGTGTACATTTTTTCATACGATTAATCTCGCTAGCTGGGTGACCTTATTAATAGATCTTGCCTAAATCCGTTGTTGTGAATTGACTTCGCACTATGAAAACGTAAGTTACATCCCTATAACCGCATACTGTAAATTTTTTTTCATACGATTAATTCAAAATAGATAACATTTTGACAGCACGGGTAAAATCATCTGGTTTTTCTGTTCGATATTTAATTTGTTTCTGGCTGACCTTTGTCCATTTCCAATGCCTATTGATAAAGTCATCCAGAGAGTCCAGCTGCTTCTCAAGTTTGTTGTCAAAATCCATTATTGTGAATTGACATTCGAGTTGAGAAAAACAGCTGATTTTAGCTTGTTGGGTGGACTTATTAATATATATTGGCCCATTTAATTTGAAAACCCCAACCAAGACCAATTAGCAATGCCACCCATGAGGCGAAGCGTAAACTATTTCAGGATTAAATATTTATCTACTATTTTGTTCGAAACAAGGCATATTAATAAGGTTGTTCGTGATGATCAGCTGCTTATCATCCACATAACGACATAACAACAAGAACTTCGGTTTTCATAATGTCAAGTATTCCTAAAAAAAACTTCAAAAGTAGTTGATCTTCCTGGGCGACCTTATCAATAGGTCTTTTTTTCCAATTAACTCCTCTCCTCCTTGGCTCACGTCCTATTTGGTGTTAGAATGTTCAGAGCCATGTCTCCATGTGTAGCTTATGCTACAAATTTGACTTTATCCATAGATGGTGGTTTGTGTTTTACAGGTTGACTTCGATCTTCTTTAAGAATTTGACCACAATGTTCAGACTTTCTAAGCCTTGTGTATCAGTGAACTCTTCTACTGAGAAGGAGTCACATAGTTGCGGGAAGCATCTTCTTTTGTTACTAAATTTACGAAATCTAAAAATTACATGCGCAGCTGTTTGTATTCTATTGAACGACTCGGACTTTATAGGTTATCCGTATTTAAAAACACACGTGTTAGTTAAGCGAACGCTTAACAACCGCCATTTTGTAAAAATCTATTTTTAAGCCCGTGGGCGTATAATACTCATTTAAACTTTTTTAGGTCACGTCTTTCTTGTGAGCCGTCCGAGGACGAACTGATCAATAGGTCTTGATTTCATTCACAATAAAGTATTTCGGCAGCAAACTTGAAAAACAGCTGATCTCACTGGGTGACTCAGGAAATTAAAATTAGATTTTTTTCCTCTACATTTATTAACAAGCTTGGACGTTTACACAATCTGTAGCCAATAATAGATAGCAATATTATTGGAAAGCCCTATTAATAGGTATTGATACTGTAAATTCTATTCATAATAAAATACTTTGACAGTAGACTTGAGAAACAGCAGATCATTTGACATCTCAGTAGCGAACCAGCTGATCTTACTGGGTGACCTTGTTAAAAGGCCTGGATCACAACGAAAATGTCCAAATTGTAAGGTCGATCAGTGAGACCAGCTGGTTCGCTACTGAGATGTCAAATGATCAGATGTTTCTCAAGTCTACTGTCAAAGCATTTTATTTAGCCCATTTTGGCTACAAGGTCTTAATTTTGAAAATATTTTACAGTGAGGGTTTATTTTAATCAGAACTGATAACGATTGCTTTATGATTGTCCTGTTAAATGGGATTTGATACCGACAATAACCATTCGTTCGACATAGCGAAATGCTCCACAAAATCTTAATCTATTTATATTATATATTAAAAAAAAATCATTTACTTTATAAAATAAATACGTTATTTGCAAAAAAATTAAAATTAAAAAAATTGTCCATAAAATAAAATCTAAAAAAAATAAGAAACCGCTTTACAATGTAGAAATCGTTAATGGAACCCCTTCACTACTTCGTCAGGGGCATACATCTATTTTTTCAATTCCTCTGTGTCAAATCCATTACATTTTCCCTCTTTACTGAAATTGATAACCCGCCATAAAACTGCTAGCCGTGGTATTCAGCAGACCCAAGCGCTGTTTCTGTTTCCTCTGTTCCGTCATGTGATCCTTAAGTTCGTGGAGCTGTTGTGACAAATTGGTGATCAACATTTGTGTCTCCAAAAGTTGAGCCTGCATGCTACGCAACTCAATTTGTTCTCCATCAGCATCAACCGCCGCCAAAGACATCGCCCTCAGACGTGGGAACCAATCGAGAATGCCAGCCTTAACCATTGCATAAACATAACTTTCAGGGCCGGTGAATTCCGTCGGATCTTTTACCTTCACGAGTACGATGAAGTAGAGATAATGCCACATATTATGTTCCGATTTTATGTGTTCCTCAAAGCTGACAGTTTTATTATCGAATGCCGAACGATTGAGGCCGCAAATGAAACAGGTGTTCTTCAGAATCAATTCCTTTTGTTGCTTTTCACTTCTCAGATCGGCAAAGGTATCGATAATTACACCGAAAATCAGATTCAACACAATAATGATGACAATGAAGAAGAACAGCAGATCGTAGATGACGCGGGCAGCGAAGAGGCCCTCCTGGAAATGGAAGAAAGGGAAGGGGAATTATTAGTTAGTAAAGAATATTTTTTCTAGGCTACAACAAGGCGTGGATTTTTTAAAGAATATTTTTTCTAGGCTACCACAAGGCGTGGATTTTTTAAAGAATATTTTTTCTAGGCTACCACAAGGCGTGGATTTTTTAAAGAATATTTTTTCTAGGCTACCACAAGGCGTGGATTTTTTAAAGAATATTTTTTCTAGGCTACCACAAGGCGTGGATTTTTTAAAGAATATTTTTTCTAGGCTACCACAAGGCGTGGATTTTTTAAAGAATATTTTTTCTAGGCTACCACAAGGCGTGGATTTTTTAAAGAATATTTTTTCTAGGCTACCACAAGGCGTGGATTTTTTAAAGAATATTTTTTCTAGGCTACCACAAGGCGTGGATTTTTTAAAGAATATTTTTTCTAGGCTACCACAAGGCGTGGATTTTTTAAAGAATATTTTTTCTAGGCTACCACAAGGCGTGGATTTTTTAAAGAATATTTTTTCTAGGCTACCACAAGGCGTGGATTTTTTTAAGAATATTTTTTCTAGGCTACCACAAGGCGTGGATTTTTTAAAGAATATTTTTTCTAGGCTACCACAAGGCGTGGATTTTTTAAAGAATATTTTTTCTAGGCTACCACAAGGCGTGGATTTTTTAAAGAAGAATACTTTTTTAACTTTAGTTTCCAAGGGTCCTACAATCTCGAATAAAAAATAGGTTTTGAAATTGTTTTAGTTCTGCTTACCTTACTAGATGGCGCCCTCAAAATGTCACCAATGCCGCCACCATTCCTCAGGCCCTGATTGAGGGTAGTTACAATGCACATAACCAAGGAATCGCAGGAGCGTTCTTTAACTTCGCCATCACTGGTGGTAATTAACTTGGGCTTCTCCATGCTGTCGGCAGAGGAACAGGTGTTGTCAGGACTAACCGAAAGGGTTGCAGATTCCAACACTACCAATTTTCAACAACAAAAATATGAAATACTGACATTTTGAAAATAAATATTCCGATTTTACCATTTTCAACATTTTCCACATCCACCTCGAGCAGGAAATCATCACGGAAGAACATATAACCAATTATGGAGAACAGATAAACTAATATCAAGGCTAAAACAGCGGTCAAGACAATTGAGCGGCCATTACGCGTTACCGATCGAATGACATTCACCAGGGTCTCCTCGCGGTAAACCACATCGAAGAGCTGCAAGGATACAAACTATTAATCCAAATTCCCAAAAAATAAAATTTGAAATTTCGACTCACCAACAACGAATAGAAAAACGGATGAAATATCAGACCGCAAAAACAAAAGAACATATAGATACAGTGGTATAACAGTTGAAAATCTGTTATAATTTTCAGGAAATGTTTCTCCAGTGTACCCTTGTTGCCCATTATACTTATTATGTGGACACTTTTCAGTGTTACCTAGGGGAAAAGATCGGAAAAAGGATTTTATTAATGGGAAATTTAGGAAAAAAAATAAAAGTACTTACCGTTACTACCCCCAGCAGGCATAACGTTGATTCTGGCCCCAGCAAAAATATCGATCGTAATATTATTGACCCGATTAACGTTCGTATACCCGATTCTCGCGGTAATGTTACCACTATAACTAGCGAAAATATCATTATGGCCCAAAAGAGTAATGAAATATGAGAGCTTAGTTCTGTAAAAAGGGAAATAAAAACATTTGAGGTTAGGTTAAAAATCGAAAAATTTCTTGAACAAAATTTTAAGGATTTTTTCTTTAATAATTTTTAAAGTGCGATGAATGACCTAGGAGCTAGGTTTAGAGTTACAAGGGATAATCACCAGATTGTATGGAAATATCAGACAAATTCAGGTTGTGAATAGTGAAAAGATCAATAACATTCAGTGGGTAGCTGCGAACCAAAATAAGCAGTCGCGGACAGTTAGCGGATGTTGGAGAAGAGTTTCGGAGGATATGATCATGTGCCTATAATCCCAAGAGAGACAAGGCGAGATTGGCGCCACTAATAAATTTCTAGATATTAGATCACCTTTTTTTCAAATATGACCACCCTAAGTTGACAAGTAGGAACAAGGTCCTCAATTCGCTTGCTTTTGACCGTTTTACAAAGCGATAGATCGGTGTGTGGCAAGCTATGCGGTTCCAGTGTGGACTGCAACACTAGTTATACGCAATGGAGAAGTATTCAGACCTGTCAGAACGCCGCCCTGAGGACTGCAACACGGTGCCTTTTCATGACACAAGTGGACCATCTTCATAAAAAACGAAGATCCTTCATCATAGCAATATGCTTTCGTTGCAGTACCTGTTCGGGTGCTTCAGGAACAATCATCACAACCATCATATGGTGGATAAGACCATATGATGGCGCGTCAGGAAGGATCTGCATGATCTAGATCAAGTTGCCTATCGAGCAGGTCTGAATAGCATTTATATTGATGCAGTTGCCGCAGCGCTGAACGGATGCAGATTGAATGTCTGAATGCAATCATGGTCAAAATCATCCTTGAGGAATGAGGGTAACACTATGAATACCACAGGGTTACCCTCAGTGATCCAGAAGATTCCTTCAACTCAAGGCGAATCATCAATGGCGTGGGAGTGGATGTCAATCTTGGCGGAAATGAAAACATCAAATCTAAGACGGCAATTGGCAAGCCGGTGATTCCGAGCCAAAATGCCATTGAAGCAAAATTTGTAAATGTCGAGAAAGCATCTAACAAAAAGATATACCAGAAGCTGTTAACTTCTTCATCGAGAGGGACATGAGTCGATTACCATAAAAAATCCTTCAGATTATGGGAAACCACAAATTTATTACGAAGTTCTCAACGAACTATTCAAATGGTATTGCAAGTGTGTTCTCGATCGAAAGAAATTCGAGGTGGCGTGTAGAGGTTGCTAATGATAATCCACCCACGGAGGAGAAAACTCTGGTGGTCCAAACACGACAGAGAAAATTAAGTCAGAAATCTCAGATCAATCTGCATCTTCGAGTGTAAAATCAATTGCACCATCATCCACTGCGAATGAAGGCAAGGGAATATCTAAGTCGGCTAGAAGAAGAACCTGTAAAAAGATTTCCAGAAAGGTGGCTGCGACGCAACCCCCATCCAAGCAACAAAAACAACTCACCAAATAAAATCTATCAGTTATTGTGGCGAAGCAGGAAGTGCTGGCGACAGCAACTTCGACTTGAATATCTATTGCAACGATGGGGATGAAACCTCAAACACGACTAGTAATTGTGAAGATGATGCGGTCTTTCGATGAGCAGCAATCAACCTCGAAATGACCTACGCAGTCGCTTACTCGGTGTACGACCAAAACCTAGAACTGTTGAACAAGACCAAACTAGCACTCAAATTGGCGAATGCTACGCTGGGGATCAAACCTCTAACACAACTTGTGGCTGTGAAGAGGATATGGTCTACGGATGAGCAGTAACCTTTCGCGAAGAGACCCTCGCAGCTGAGAAGCTGCTTTGCATCGGTTACGCCGACGAAGATGCCAGCCAGGAATGGTAAGGAAGAGACAAAAGCCAAACCATCTACTGTAAGCAAGGGCCCCGGAGATCGAAACCCATGTATAGCAACGATGCTACTCAACCAGGGACTCTTGTAGACCTTACAGATTTGATCCCAATGCATTGATGCACCAGTGAAGATCATTGGATCTCAGTCGATCGCTAACAAACTCATTCTGATTGACGATGTTTATCATCGGAAATTTCGACTGGAAAAACGCTGAAGTTGGTTGAGAAAGAGGTTGACTTCGGTTTGGATTTTAGCACCTGAAAAAAACCTAAAGTTGGTTGAGATGACAGAGTGTCGGTCTTCGAATCTGTGGCTGGAGAATTCTCAAACCATTCAAAAAAGAACGACGATCTTTTCGTAAAATTTGCTCCTGAAACTTTTGAAGAAATATACCTATTTAAGAACAAATGTACGAGGCTCCTGACCCAACAGGAGTGAAGGTTTTACAAACATTTGGAGAAGATGAGGCATTGGTTTACTGGTCCTGGGGCGTGATGTACATTAGCAGTAACACTAACACATACGGTGTGAGTCCATTATTGGCTAATTTTATATTATAATATAATCTTAGGATATGTAGAAGGGGCTGTACATCGACGAGCATTACATTTCGGGATAAATTCAGTACTAAAGCATCGTCTTCAGATGTCGGTCATTCAAAACGGCCGGGGACGTTAAAAAGCATTGTGCGGATCAGGGAATTTTGAGTCACACTATAAAGAATTTTCAGGACCTGCCTGTGCTTAGTCTATGAAAAAAAACGCGACCTTCATCTCAAAAGCTGTGAAGCCGAGTCACACCCTACTAATTGACTATAGACCGATCAGTTTTTCTTCCTTTTTACTTAAGACACTATAAAGATTATTGGTCCTCGATATTAGAAATTCCTTCGATATCAGCAAATCCCAATACACTTATATCAAAGACATATCAATAGATACTGTCCTACATGAGGTGATCGAACACATTGGGAGGAATATCGATAACTCCAGGTTCATCTAGGCTCTGTTCTTTGATATTGAAGGAACCTTCAACAATGTGAACATGGAATCTATCTACTGTGTACTCGAATGTTCTGGTGTCCGCTCAACTCTAATATATAGGATGGTTAACGCTGATAGGTAGATTCATTACTATGTAAATTGGAGAGAGTACATATGAAAATCTGTCAGCAGATGAACACCACAAGAAGTGGTACGCTCTCCTCCGTTGTTGTTGTTGCAACGGAATACATGTGGTGTATCATTCATTGACTTCTTCTACTTTTCAACTTTTTCTAGCTCCAAATTCAAGAAAGTTGCAACTTGAACGGGTTGCGTCCATAGTGAATTCGGCGATAGATGAGTCGGCTTAGCTGGGCAGTTGAAGAGGTGCAACGTGTCTTGGGGTCCTAGTCCACATGCAGGACATGTGTTATGTATCGAGCCGTCAATTCTTTCCCAATATGTTTGTCTTGGCAGCTGCTTCTCCTCTGCTGCGATGGATGGGGTGTGGTCTCCGATCATGGTATTCACACGATATTTCTCTACTGCCTAAGCGACTGCGTCCGTGTGAATACCATTCAGACCTGCTTGATAGGCTTCATGATCTAGGGGTTCACCCTTATACCTTTGGACATCTCTCTCTAGATCATGAAGATCTTTCCTCGGCGATAGATGAGTCGGCATAGCTATGCAGTTGAAGAGGTGCAACATGTCTTGGAAGAGATGCAACGTGTCTTCAGACCTGCTTGATAGGCTTCATGATCTAGGGGTTCACCCTTATACCTTTGGACATCTCTCTCTAGATCATGAAGATCTTTCCTGACGTGCCTGGCGGGGGAGTCCTGCCCATAAGACTATCACAGGGGTGTTCCCGACGATAGCACCCAAGCAAGTTGTGTCGATGGACTGGTAAGATCTCTCATCCGTTGTGGCTCATGGTGATAAATGAAATCCTGGTAAAGTTTCATTATTTGAAGATAAAGGAAGTCCAGGGCAGATAGAAAGGGATATTATCTACACTGTTCGAGAAGGTTGTAATCTATGCCGATGATGTAGCCTTGTAAATTTCTGGCAACCATATCCGATATAATGCAGGGTGCTTCAGCTTCAGCTGTCAAAATAAGCCAAAGTAAATGGTCTTGGGGTCAACCCCAAGAAGACAGAAATTATACCCTTTGTTAGAAAACGTAAAATCCCAAACATCCGATTACCTACTTTGAATGGAGTGACATTAGTTGTCAAATACATCGGAACAATCCTTGATCAAAAATTAACGAAGAAAAGGAATGTGGAGGAGCGCACTTAGCCAGGTCTAATATCATTTTATACTTATCCAAGAACTCCATAATATTTTGGATATAGGTCCATGTTATGACATACTAGGATTGAAAGGTCTCGGAACAATCATTGGCCCCAAATTAACGAGGAAAAGCAAGATAGAGAAACACACTAAGAGAGTTCTAATTCTACTTTACTCAGGTACGAGTTCCATTGGATTTTCGATAAGTTTTTGAAATTGTTGGTTTGAGGTTAGTTTAATTTTGTTCGCTACTTACCAGGCACAGTGTTATCGAAGGGATAGAAAAATGCAACAATTATATTTATAACAACAACGCAATTAAATAATATATTACTCCAGAGTGACATATAACTGCTAACCCAAAATAGGAAAGGTTGACCTGTAATTATACAAAAACAATTTAAATAATTCTGATAATTTTTAAATCTGTTCTCCATCTAACCTCTCAGTTTCTTTTGCCATTTCATTTCGTTAAACATTTCCTCAGCCTTGTCAAAGAAATCGGCCACCTTCGAGCCCTGATCATCACGTTCGGCGGTTTGGAATATTTTCATTTTTGTATCGGTGGTCAGATATTCACAGATTTCCGGTATGGGAAAGACAATTTGTTCGAGGGTGCGGTCATGGCGAACGATCTGCAAGAGATAAAGAGAAGGTGAAAAATTGTCAGAAATAGATAGGGTGGATGGTGGAAGGATAGGAAAAGGGGGAGGATGGAAGGCAGGGACAATGTATTTGCCCAAAAAAAGAGAAGTTTGAAAAGGAATGTAAAGAGATAAGGAGGATGGAGGAAGGGAAGGAGCATCAATTGAATGAGCGAGGGAGGAAAGAGTGAAGTTGTAGAGGAGTTTAGATGAGATATCAGATCGGCAGCAGAGAAATTTTGACCAGGTATTAGATTAGTATTAGAGGAGGTTATAGGAGGTAGAGTGGTAGTAGGAGATGCAGAGGAAGGTGTATGTTAGTGATAGAATAGTGGCATATTTGTTATAGAATATTTTTCAGGAAGTAGGGAGATAGGAGTAAAGTGTGAGAAAGAAAGCGATGTGGTAGGTAGGTTAGATGTATAGGAATATAGAGGTGTTTTGTAGTACTTACTTCAATTTGCGCAGTATGTGTGGCATAATACATTAATGCCTGACTCATTTTGGCATCATAGTTTGGCGATTGCGGATCATCGGAAACCTTTAGCAAACTGGCCAATTCCTTGTTGTGTTGGGCCAATTGATGACATAAAATGTAAATGTTATGACCCACCTCGCGTGGACTTACCGATACATCATCATCGTCATCATGTTCCGGCCCCACCCCATCTTCATCCCCATCATGATCGTCAATCATTTCTTCCTGATGATATGCCTTACAGGCCACATCAACCAATTGTTTGGGGTTCATGTTATATAAAATCCTCTCGGCATTTTCACCATCACCTCGTGACTCCATTATGGCCAGCAATAGCTTCGAAGCATTATTTTTCAATTCCAATACCAAATCCATACGATTTTCTCCCAATGGATTAATGTTATTCAGAATCAACGCGGTGATAATATCCAAACCATTCGATTCATGGGTGGCAATACAATTTTGATTCTCGTGACAAGGACCTTGACAATATTCGGTGAGGGTTTCCAGGGTCTGATTAATCAAAGCCACATTATTTTCGTTGATATAGAGACCCAAGAGGCCAAGACCTCCCGTTGTCGAACCGCAGATACAATCCAAAAACATAAGGGTTTCCGAAACAAGATTATAATTGGTTTTGTTGTTTTGATTCCTAAGCAAATTCTGCAGGTCAGGATTGTGATTTTCACAAAGCAGCTGCATGAACCGGAGTATAGGTTGCATAACCAAGACCTTATTCGATAATTTATTCCGATCTTCCTTGTTATCCTTGTGTTTTTCCAATTTCTCCGCGAGAATTTCATCAAAGGGACTGTTGATGTTAAGAGAATTCGAATCCTCTCCTGCATGTAGATTCCGTGCATTACTAAATGCCCTGGCCGTGGCCAATCCGGCATTGTGCAGCTCCTTCCGCAGTTCATCCGTGATCACGACACCATTAGTTTTCACTCCATGCTTCCGGGAAATTTTATCCAATTCCAAATTAACATCCTGTTTACTTTCATGGGCCTTCGCCGCAATATCCGAAGTATTCACGGTGACCGTGGATTTGATCTCCTGTTGGGCATCTTTCATTTTATCAAAGAAGACCTTGAAGAAAGCCTGATTTAGATCACCGCTCAGGAATTTCGTGTACATCCCCTTCTGGATAATTGGATTGCCACCCTCCAGCAAGGCAATACCCAACTCAATGGCCTCTACAAAAATTGAGGGGGAGTGTACCGACTTAATAACCAATTCGATAACCAAATCTGAGGCTCCTTCTCGATCCAAGTGATTTTGTACTTCATGCAGCGTTTTCTCGGCCCTTTGTAAATATTTCGCTCCCGGTCCATGGGTGACCAAATTCAAATGTTGCTTTTGACTATCCTGAGCCAACGACAAAATATCCCCCTTTGGTTCCACTGGGGTTCTCGAAGTATTCGATGGCTTTATATCGAAATATCGTTTCAGCAGGGTACTCCTCAAGGCATCTCCCTTCTCACCATAATTCACATCTATGGCCATCATTTCCCTCAACGTCTTCAATACCTTCACACATAATTTCTCCTCCTTTTCCTCCAACAACTTCTCCGTATGCTTGATCAGCTTCCGGATAAAGCCACCTGACTCACATCTTTTTCGTGCCTCCGTTCCCTGCGGGAACAACAATTCCGATCTGTACAGAATATCGACCAACAGTGACAATTCTGCTTCCACTACTGGTTTCAATTGATCCTCCAGCAGTGAGACAATATCCTGCAAGCCCTCGATAATGGACCTGTCTAATCGCATTAAATTGGCCGAATGCTGTGTCTCATATTTTGGCTGTTTCGAGGCCAATAGCCATTTTGTCGTCTGCCTGGTGAGCAGAGCCGTTTTACTTGACATGGTCACCACCTGCTGTTCCAAGTCGAGCGGTATGGCGATGCTGCGTGTCTTTGCCGACTCAGCCAAAGTACGTATACAATTTTCGACATTAAAGCGATCAGCCAGACTCAACCATTTGCATTGAGATAAACGATAACAGACTTGCAGTAATTGTACGAATATCATTTGTCGGGACTGTACAATGGTGCTCTGATCGGAAAAGGGGCTACTGAAAAAGCTGGCCAGTATGGTGCAGACTCCATTGAGCACATAATTGATGAGGGTCTTATCCGCATTGATCCCCGTATTGATCAGCAAATTAATGTCCACCATAAAACTTTTTTCGAACAAATTCCACATGTGACCCGATGAATAGATCTCCTTCATCTCAACCTCTGTATCGATATAACAATGATTCAGAAAATCGACATAAGCCTCCTTGACCTCCGGTATGCAAGCCGGATGACAGATAACCGCCACAATATCATCCAAGGACAACAGGTTATTGCATTTGATTTCCGTGTACAAATTTTTACCCATGGTACAGCAGGCCAAAAGTTTTACCAATTCTACATGATACTTCAAGGGACTATCATCCGACAGTGGAGTCTTTTGCGTCTGCATCATGTGCACCAGCTGATTGAACGATGATTTATCATTGTAGAATACCAAAACTTCTTCGCCGGCATTGATCAGTTCCTGCATAACCATATCCTGGCATTTGCGTATAAATTGATTCTCAGCCTTGACAATGGTCTGTAGGAATTGCAGATACACAACATGACGACCATGGATTTCAATGCAATGTACAAAGTGTTGGACGACTTTGTCGGTAACTTCATTGCACAGGGTTAGGTTGTCCTTGAATATCGCACAGACGGTTTTGGCTTCGAGGATCTGAAAAAAGAGAAACAAATGCGTTAGAAAATATAATTTTCAAAGACCAAGGTGCAGAATATTAATAGAATGGCCTGTGCGGATTGTTGTATACTATCGGATCCATCCATTGTTAGATGTGGGGAACATTGGCGCTCATAAAATAATCAGTACTCTGAAACTGAAGGTTGACTCCCAATGCTAGCGCATTACCCGACCTAGTACCTAGATGCTGTAGCCTGCCCTTGGTGATCGGGCAGTCATCTATTATTGCCTAGAAACAATGCCTGCTTAAATTTTTGCAGTGGTCGTTGTTGTTGTAGCAGCCCTATTGCTTCTACACAATGGGCTGAGGTGACAGACGTTGGCCGAGTATAACTCGGGTCGTTTCGGATCGTAGACCCCTCTGTCGTGGAAACGTTTTGCAGTGGTTGGGGTCCTCGCTTGTTGCCTTTTGCCTCTGGATGGCGTTATCATATCTTGTGTAGGTTGATTGTGATACAGACTGTATTAAAACGATTCGACTTCTATTTTTTCTACTCCATAAAGCAGTCAGTTTCGATATTCCTTTATTTTTAGTCCATCAATGTGCATGATTGGTCTGTTGTAGCCCGTCCTTGGTGATGGGGCTGCCATCTATTGGTGTCTAGAAACAATGTCTCCTTGAGCAGTGGTATGGGTATTTACTTATTTAGTGTTGCCATTTTCCTCTGAATGGCGCCTTATCCCCCTCATGGTTTGATGCCGAGTTTAGTTATTAGAATAGCAGGTGGCTTTGGATTTATTAGAAACGAAATTTCAAATAAATTTGTTCTCCTCCGCAGGGATTCGAATCTGGCTTGTAGTCTGGTATACTATCCACCGCATTAAGTCTGTCTTAGGTATTACCATGAGGGGATATGGAACGATATTCCTATGACAGATGAAGAATATGACGTTCATACATCGGTTATCAAAGTCTCACCCTCGGACAGGAAGGCATATCGAAGACCAATTTGTTCTCCCTCGAAATCAATCAGCGATAAGAATTTTTGTCAGATTAGAAAGCACCTAAATGTCATGGGGATGGAAAACCTGTACTACACTCATAAGGGAACTCGACGATTTCAGTGGCAATTAGGAGGATAAGTTGGAGAAAAGAACAGCACAAGTCAGTTTTTCTGAGGCAATCAGCCACCAGCCGCCAACGAGATTACTTGCAAAAGGTAATTTAGGAACCACTAGTTCTGAAGTCTCCTGAAAAGACCTAAATATCGTCATTTCGATTTCTTCATTCTCCAGCAGACCAGTAATTCGGAATAAGAAATACTTAAAAGTCATGAGGAAATACGAACGAGGGTACTCCTACAAGGGAACCAGAAAACTCTTAGACGAAGCTGTTCCGAAAAAAAAACAAATGATGAGGATAAGCTCGAGAGAGGAAAAGCATAAGTGGAATCTACATGCTCGAAAGGCAATCAACAAGAGGTTAGGAGAGAGTGATCCGAAGAAAGTATAAGCTAAGTCTAAAAAGGCTCTGGTCTGGAAGGTATATCGAAAGCTCATAGGAAGTATCGGAGACTAGTTTCTTCGGATTAGAAAAGACCTAAATGTGGTGATTTCGATTTCTTCAGTCTACTCCGACAAGGGCACGAGAGAACTCTTAGTTGAAGTTGTTCCCAAAGAATCGAAATTCCCTTCAAAGCTCGAGAGTTGAACAGTATTTGTCAGTGCTCGAGAGTCAAAAATTTACGAAGGTTAAAAAAGGTCAGGTGTGTGTGCTCCGAGGAAAGTATAAGCTATGTCCAAAGAGGCTCTGGATAAAAAGTCGCATCGAAAGTTCATAGGAATTATCGAAGACATGCGTTTTTAAGACCAAAATCCGAAATCAACCAGCGATAGAGACTTTCTTCGGGTTAGAAAATACCTAAATGTAGTGATTTCGATTTTTCAAGACCCGAAATCAATCAGCTATAAGTAATTCCTTCGGAATAAGAAACACCTAAACACCTAAATAGGGTGAGAAAGTAGGAACGGGGCTATTCACACAGGCTTTTGGCAATGAAGATGATGAGATCGAGAGAGTAGAGGGAGGCAAAGATACCCGAAATCCTGAGATCGAATGAGGCTCTGGTATATCGAAGTCTAATTTCATACTGCGCTATGTCGATCAAGACCCGAAAACAATCAGCGATAAAGATCCATCGGATTATAAAGCATTAAAATGAAGTTCGAACGTGACAAAGGCACTACGGAACTCCTAGTCGATTTCAAATCCTTGGGCAGTGAAAAGGGTGAAATATACCGAAAAATAACATCCTGCTGCATAGAATAAAATCGTTGCTTCAGATGGTTTTTAAATTATGTCTCGTATGGATAGATGAAGAATGAAAGTGGGAGAGCTACAACGAAGCCAATCGGTAATTTTGGAAGCCCATGTATATCACTAGCGACTACTGATTGGTAGGATCAAGGTCAGTTCAACTTCTGTCTCGTATGTAGCGATAGAAGAGACGAAGAAACGTGGGAGACCTACTACCAGAAAAACAGAGTAGCCATAATCGACAAGAGAAAGTACGAACGGGCTACACACACAGGCTTTTGGCAATGTCAGTGCTCGGGAGGCAAAGATACCCGAAATCCTGAGATCGAATGAGGCTCTGGTATATCGAAGTCTAATTTCATACTGCGCTGTGTCGATCAAGACCCGAAAACAATCAGCGATAAAGATCCATCGGATTATAAAGCATTAAAATGAAGTTCGAACGGGACAAAGGCACTAGGGAACTCCTAGTCGATTTCAAATCCTTGGGCAGTGAAAAGGGTGAAACATACCGAAAAATAACATCCTGCTGCATAGAATAAAATCGTTGCTTCAGATGGTTTCAAATTATGTCTCGTATGGATAGATGAAGAATGAAAGTGGGAGAGCTACAATGAAGCCAATCGGTAATTTTGGAAGCCCATGTATATCACTAGCGACCACTGATTGGTAGGATCAAGGTCAGTTCAACTTCTGTCTCGTATGTAGCGATAGAAGAGACGAAGAAACGTGGGAGACCTACTACCAGAAAAACAGAGTAGCCATAATCGACAAGGCTGGTCCCGATGTAGTAGCGAGAGTCCTTAATTGCTACGCGACCTTACTATATATATGCGAATCAAGCTGGTAAATTGTGGAAATAAGGAGACTGCAATAATCGACTTCGAACCCCTCTGGCAGGGTAGTAGTCTAGTAGCTATACCTGCTGATAAGATCCCGTGGAGATGTTGATTTCTGAATGGTAACCTCTACTTCCGGTTTTCTTATTTAAAAGCTTAATAACTTCCCAAAGAACGGTGCGTTGGTCGTAAAAAAATGCTAACTAGAAAGCAGGATAACAATTTCTGATCAGTAGCAAGGGAACCAAGTGGTAAGCCTTTGCAGGATTATTCGTATCCAACATGGAAGGGTACAATAAAGCATGAATTATTTATGAACCATTTTAAGATCCACCTAAAGTGTGAATATTTAAGCACTATTTATTCAAGGTCCGCTAAAACTGATTTTTTTATAAATTTTTTTTCAAGGTTCCATCATCTTTCGGTACTTACCCCCGGATTCAAAAACAAATCCAAATGATTATGCAGCAACACCTGATTCTGTTGATTGCCCAAACAGAAGTTCTGCAAAAATTCATGAGCCAAGAACATCAATTCCTTCATAAGGACATCATCCTTTTCATCGTAGGGATTTTGCAGTAGATCCAAGACCACAGTGTGGACGCCAACATTACGCAGCAGGCGTTGTTCATGTTTACGTGGTTTTACATAGGGTCCTGAGGGATTTCATAGATTTTAGATTAAGAAATAGAATTTTTAATATGATCGGTGTAGGACTTACCTTGCGTGACACAAAATTGATTCATGCGTATCAGGATTTCTTTGACCTTTTTATATTCGGCCAATTGTTCAGTCGATAATGAAGCCTTATATTCGTTGGTTAGATTGCTATTATCTATAGAAGATTCTCCTACCGCTAGAGAAGGAAAAACAAAAAAATTGCATTCGAATTTAAAAATGTGGTGGTATTTCAAAGAATTGTGCGAAGGAAATCCTTAAAGGAAATATGGGAGTTCGACAAGGGTCATTTCTAATTCGAATTCAATAATATGGAAACTTTTTCATTATTAAGTCGATAGTAATGGCACCCAAGAGTTGTACTGTACCCATTATAAACTATTGATGCAATTTTCTACTCAACCAATATTCAGAAGAAAATAAAATATTTGATTAAGGCCCAACATTAGAAATGGCGCCCAACATGATGTAAAAAACACTAATTTCAAATAAAATATGTTAAGTTCGGCCGGGCCGAACTTTGGATACCCTCCACCATAGATATACTGGCAGGTACTTGAAATGAAAATATAGGGAACATACCAAAAAATGGACGTATACCGACATTTCTACAAACCGATTATGTAAACAATAATTTTGTAATAGAAAATTATACCATCAGCCTTATGGATAATTAGTGTGTATACACTTTCACACGGTGAAAATTTGCCTCATCGAAATATTGGTTCTAGACCCCATGTTTTTTTGGACCAAATCCGTTTCAGAAAACTTTGATTTCATCCCATCTTATTATTTCTTCCAAACTTAGTTCAAGTCCGAATTTGGGGAATATCTGGCCATGCCTTCTGGTACCTACGTCTAAGCCTAAATGCGGGCTATAGTTCACATATAGTTCATTATCGAACCATATGTTCTAGTTTTTTTATCTCGATATTCTTCGCAGGTGAAATGATTACATCAGAGTGTTAGAACCAAACCCAAAACGCGGAAAATTCAGATAATTATTTTAATATAAAAAATGGGGTTATATGAGGACTACCCCTAAAAGGGGTTGACTATTAATAATTTTTGGTAGGGAGATTTGTTACCATATACGGCTACAAAATACCAAATTTCAGGGAATTCGGTTGAAAAACGCGCTCAAGGACCTCAAAATACCGAAATTTTGGGGGTACCTATATATGGGGGCTACTAGAAAAAATTGACTTATATTTAAATTTTTAGTAGAGATATTTGGTACCAAATAAGAACCCAATATACCAAATTTAAGCGAATTCGGTTGAAAAACGCCCTCAAGAACCCCAAAATACCGAAATTTGGGGGTACCCTTATATGGGAGCTACCAGAAAAAATGGACTTATATTTATAATTTTTGGTGGATATATTTGGTACCCAATAAGAATCCAATGTACCAAATTTCAGAGAATTTGGTTGAAAAACGCACTCAAGAACCCCAAAATACCGAAAATTGGGGGTACCCTTATATGGGGGCTACCGGAAAAATGGGCCGATGTTAATAATTTTTTGTGGAGATATTTGGAACCTATTAAGAACTTAAAATACTAAATTACAGTCAATTCGGTGGAAAAATACGATCAAAACCCCCAAAATACTGAAAATCAGTAGGTACCGTTATATGGGGGCTACCAGAAAAAGTGGACCTATATTTATATTTTTTTGTGGAGACATTTAGTACCCAATAAGAACTCAATGTACCAAATTTCAGCGTATTCGGTTGAAAAACGTGCTGAAGAACCCCAAAGTACCGAAAATTGGGAGGTACTGTTATATGGGAGCTATGCCTAAACGTGGACCGATATATCCCATCATCGAACTTGACCTGCCTGCAGACAAAAGACAACCCTATGCAAAATTTCAGCACCCTATCTCAATTCCTTCAGAAGATAGCGTGATTACAACAGACGGACGGACACGGCTAGATCGTCTTAGAATTTTACCCTGATCAAGAATATATGTACTTTATAGGGTCGGAAATTAATATTTCGATGAGTTACAAACGGAATGACAAAATTAATATACCCTCCATACTATGGTGGAGAGTATAAAAATAATTTTATAATATTCAATTACTTAAATGGCGCCCAACATAATACTACTACTTCTTATCATTTCTATCAACTGAATATTTATTCTTTGAAAGACAAGAAGTTAAACATATATCAATAGTTTTGGAATTGGGTTCAAATTTCATTTCCTTACTCCTCTACTTACTTGTACTTAATTCCTCGGAAGTTTTCGATTTATATACCCACAATTCGGATTTCTCAACACTTTGCCGCAAAATATCCAAGTCGTGTTTAATTTGTTTATACGATTCCACATCATTGTCGGAAACCAAAAGTTGTACCTTGAATTTCCGATTTGGGCAGGAGGAGAATTGGAAAATAAATGAAATTTTAAATATTAATTTTTATTGTCGAAAAATGCGAACATAATAAATAAAGCTTTAATATATAAGAATAATAAAGAAAAATCAACAGTACTAACTATACTCATCCACTGGGGTTATTTTTTTATTTTATTTATTGAAGTATTTGTTATTTTGTAAGATTAGTAAATTATTTTTTAATGAAAAAAAAGTAAACGTAAAAATTTATTTAAATGGGGAATTAAATGTATTAAAAATTATTGCTTATAAAGAAAAAATATAAATTAAAAATCATTAATAGTTAGTAAGTTATTGGTTATTGTTGAAATTGAAAAGCATGGCAAAGAATAAAAAAAAACCAACATTGGTAACACATTAAAAATATATTTTTTAATTCTATGAACAAATTTTAAGAACAGCTTTATAAGACGCGAGACCTTCAGAATGCAAGGCCAAATAATTGGTAAAAACCAATAAAAATTTAGGAGATAAAGTCGTCTTCTGAGGCTTTTGTCAATAAAGAGACTGAGGTGCATAGCGAAAGAACACATATAGTAAAGTGAATCATACTGGCCAATGTAACTTTTGTCACCATTAGCGAAGACTCTTGAGGGGTATTACTCCTGCCCAGAATTAGGAAAATGCATCTAGTTGTGGATCATCAACGTGGGTTGCGTAAGCAATACAACACAACAACAGCGTTGCACGCCATCTCCACACATACAAATCGAGGACTTAACTAGAACCGGTCGTGTTATAGAACAGTGTTGGTAGCGCTTGACCTATCAAAAGCCTTAAATACCTTCAATTATGCTACACTGTTTGAGGACATCGGGATCACTTCCCTCCGGCCAAGCTTGGGATCACTCACTTCCCTCCGGCCAAGCTTGGGATCACTCCACCCTTGGGAAGTTCAAGGATGGAGTGATATCTCCTCTACCTTTCCGTTATTCCACGACCTCGGGTCCTATTGTTGAGGACATATGTGGAAGCTTTAGAATGATAGCGAAATAGCATTCTGCTGCAAAGAAATCATTGACAATTCTAACATCAGTCTTGTATGCATCAATAGCGATGAAGAAGGAGTAGCTACCTTCTAAGCCAAAATCCAAAATTCTAGAAGTGACAATTTGACGGATGGTCGGATGATTGTACGATAATGGCGTCGGGTCCTATCATGTGAGGAAATATGTTTAAGGTTTAGGTGGATAGTGGAACAAAATCCTGTTGCAAGAAGAAGTCATAATCGCTGCAGACAATTCAGTCTTCTGTCTAATAGTAATAGATACCATGAAGGTACCTTCTAAGCCGAAGTAAAAACTTTTGGAAGCGACAATTTGACGGATGACCCCAAGTGATGAACATATAAGCAATCTTGACCATTTCCCTAATGGACCCCACGTTGATCATCAACGGCTTCAGTTTCGTAGGATTACACCCTATATAAGGTGATCAAGGTCTCTTCATACTTCTGCCCCCTATGCATCGATAGCGATGAAGAAGGAATAGCTACCTACCTTTTCGAACATGTTGTAAGGCTTTGCACGAACCTTCGAATCGATTATCCAAACGAGTTAAAGGAACAAGTCAACCATTTTCGAAACGCATCCTGAGTTGATCATTAGTGGCTACAAATTACCTCCCTTTATAGGGAATTAAGGTCGTAAACTGTGGTAATAGAAAGTCTTCCGACTTCTTTAGTGAGGCAGTGGTTGACCTTGAACCCCACATGGCAGGGTAGAAGCAGTTGCTGGTGAGATTCCATGTAAGATAGTTTTATATTTCTTCTGTTGGAACTGGGACAAATTGGTCGAGATGCAGGATATCGAATTTCACATGGGTAACTGGAAGAAGATTAAGAATAACGATTTCTGAGGAGGAGGTGAGCCTAAAACTAATATTTAGTGGCATTACAACCGTTTGGAGCCTCAGGAACATATAATTCACAAAGTCTGGGTAAAGATGACTCCTAGAGTTTTTGGTAAAGAACGGTTAATATTTCGGGGATCAAATGGACTGAAAACAAAAATTCTGCAAAGATCATACACCTGTACTCGAACTCGGAATGCCAAAAAAAGACCCTTCCTTTGGAAAAAGCGGCTAAAACTTAGAAACTACCTAAAAAGGGTTGCTAATGTTATATCTGGACATTACCAGAACTCTCTACACTAGGTTTCGTTTGGTGCAACTGCTGCTGATTTGACAATCCCTGGCTTATGCGAAATCGGTAAGGGATTTTTGCAGAGGAAAGCTCCGATACCTAAAATAGGATTTCGTGCTTGATACTCACCAACAACGACGACCTCCTGAACCGACCATCGTGGTAGCTTTAGATCTGTCCAAGGCATTTCAACATTCCGAGCATATTTCCGACATCTCGAGTTCCACTTTTTCGAATGATGTCAAGCGCTGGCTTGTCAATCAATTACATTAATGCTCGGCAGACGGTTGAAGAGTTCCGTGGCCAAACATCAAAATGAGAGTCCTTCAAGTTATCTACCGAAGCTCCGAAGTCAAACGCCGATGATTGTACGTACTATAATTTCTTCAGCTATTAATATTGACGACGTAAGTGTGAAAATTTCCAGCTATATAACCACCATTACTAACTTCTTTAATTTCCAAAAATCCATTGAAAAGTTAACCGTAACAAATTTCACTTCTGGAATACGGATATTAAATTGATACTTGACTTGATGTCCAAGGAAAGTGTATACCCACGGTTCGTAATCCAAAAAATTCTTGGAATGGTTTCATTTATCCTTACATCAACCAGAAATTGAATGTTAGTTATATTTCTAACCCGGAGCGTATTGTTTCCGAAATCCTAAATAGGTGTCCTCCACAACATCCATAATTTTTTTTAAATTGTCTAACCGACCCAGAGAAATATTCGACTCATGAAATTATGTCTAAATTGAACAGATGTGATACTAGTTCGATTTTTCTTGGCAGTTTTCCTCGAAGTCGACATTCTAAAGGGCAGTTTTTTACAATTAGACGTAACATAAAGCGCATACTGGTGCTTCCATCATAGTCTACGAATATGTTGCTTGCCAAATCTATTGAAGGAACAAGCCCTGCTCATGCTGCGGGATTCTAAGTATCCAATCGAGTAGATTTCTATCCAGGTCTCATAAAGCCCCACACTCTCTTAGAAAAATGAGGTGAACTTCACTGAAGGAGTCATGGCGGGATTAGGAAATGCGGAAGTGTCGGACCTAGTACCGGCTTTTCCTTTTATGGAGCCTCTGAGCTAGTTCAATCCAGCTTTTGCAAACCGGCGACTCCAAATCATGGAAATGGCATCACGCTTAGATTTAGTTGAACTATTGGAGAAAAACGAACTAGGTGAACGAGAGCAAAAATGAACGACTGAAGCAAACTATGAACTAGATGAACGAAAAAGTCAGACCTAGTTCCGATTGTTCCTTTTGAGAATAGTTTGAACAATAATACTCTATTCGAACTTTCGGAAACCACCGACTTCAAATCATGGAAATGACATCAAGCGTAGGTGTATGTTCAAACTGTTTTTTTTTCAAATTAACTTCTCGTACTAATTGGCGCCCAACATGAGACTGTAAACAATTAATTTTTAACAGATTCCCATTCATAATCAATAACTGAAATGGCGCCCAAATGTGGAGTTTGCTAAATACACCTTATAAAGCTGTTCAAATGCCAACAAACAAAATGTTCAACAAAAACTTGACATTCCAAGAACTTAAAATCATAAAAATTCATTTGACACTTACCTGCCTAAAGGCATGCAAAACCTCCTGACGTTGACTGAAATGACGGAAGAGCAAATGCAATGCTCCCGATACTAACGGTGGATAGTCATGCATAATTAAATGTAATAGAACACGTAAAAATGTACGACCACCCTGACCGTCCAGATCCAAATTGGCAGCATCACCGCTGTCACAATCGAAAATGCCCTCCGCCTGTATGCCAATTGACTCTAAATCGATATTCTTTTGACGCTGTTGGAAAGCAGCTGCTGCCGATGCCTGGGCATCTTGGGTGCCGGTGGTTGTGTTTGTGTTGGAGGAAGTGGGTGATGTGGAAGAAGATGATGTTGTGTTGGAAGTTGTGTTACCACCACCCGATATTGTCGATGATGAACTAATGCCACTATCCGATGTTGTGGTAATTGTGGTTGTGGTAGTCTGTACATAGGGTGCCGATGTTACTGTCGCTGTAGCTGCTTCCGACTGATTGGCAAATTGATGGGCGTCACTTTCGTCGAACTCACGCTTGAATATCGATAGGAGGCAACTAATTCTATAATCCAAACGGACATCCAGAATGAATTGTAGAATTTCGATGATTTTCAGCTTTGTATCCATGACCAGGGGGAACTCCTTCATTAGCTGTGATACGGATTTGCGTTGTTGTAGCGATGAAATGGCCGGTGTGGCCATAACTTGGCCAACAGAACCCAAGGCCAAGCTGGTCATAACGGTGTTCATATCGCCAATGGAACGCAGGACACCTCCTTCGGCTAAAAATGTGGGGGAAATTCATGAGTGAAGTGTTAGTGTGGTGGTATTTGGTGAGAGTAAGTTCTAGAAGTTTCAATTTTTTTTTCCTTGGGAAGATTTTAGACTGGCAAACTTACCAATTTTCGAATCCTCATCTTCGTTTGCTTTTGCTTTATATATTTTTTTTAATTTTGGCAAAAATAATGTAAAAATATTTTTTTGAAATAAGCCAAGCCAATCAGATTCATTAGCCAAACAATAAGTTTCAGAACTCAACTGATTATATATGGGATTAACAAATACTTTGGAGATTCTAATTCCCCCTAGTTCGAAATACTTACAGTCTGTTACAGCTGCCTCAAATCGTCCAGCATTTGGTCCAGCCGCCGTGGAACTATCAATGCTACTATCCGATACACAATCGAGGATGCAAAGCAATGTCTTGGTCAATCGCAGCAGATCGCTGAAGCTATAGAAGCCGAAGTAAATTAAGTCACGAGCCAATTTTACTACCTGGAATAAAAATATGTTACGTTATAAATCGAAGTAAATTAGGAATTGAGGAGGGTAGCATGAAGGAGTCCAAGTATTGGAATTGTAAGCCACCTCCTGATTTTGCACTTTAGGCGAACTTATATTCGTAATCTAAAAATAATTTGAATACCAACCTCAAATGTCAGCTTATTCTGTTCCTGATCTGTGAATAGCCAAACCTTAGCCGCCACATTGCATAGATAGTTCTCCACGAAAGCAATGGTGGTATTAAATTTGGCCCGTACAGCTTCCTTGTTTTGATCTGGTTGTTGATTTTTGCCATCATAGCTGGAATATTAAAAAAAGAAGATTAAATTCAAATATTTTTAATGTTATTGGAATGGCGCCCGACGATGGACCCAAACAACTAATTGGCTTTGTAAGATGTAAGTCCACATTTTCAGCTATCCTGGATTTTTTTTTTGTGCATGACGTATTATTTCGGTTTAATAATCTATAGTTGAAATGGCGCCCAATGTGGAGTCTATACAAATACAAGTTCTTTGGATAAGATTAAGAAAACTTCTCAGCAATTCGAGTGGTGTCGTTCCAAAGTCATGTTAATTATGTATAATAATTGAAATGGCGACCAACCATCAAAAATACGTTTTAACAAATGGTGGATTTAACCGAAAGATTTTGAACTATGCTTGGGTTTTTACAAACCTTAAATGCATGACGTACAAAGTTAGATTAATTGTATACAATCAAAATGGCACCCAATGAGGGGTCCAAGCAAATAATAGTTGTTGATATAAGATTAAGATTAAAGTCAGGTTAATTATCCATAATTGAAATGGCGCCCAACGAGGGACACTATCAATTAATAAGTTTTAATAAAGTCGATTTGAACCTCAGGTATCTTGAATTTTTGCAATGCAAAAATGAACGATAGGTACTAGGGGTAATTCTTTAATGCATATAGTGGGATTGAACGTCAGTTATCCTGGATTTTGAGAAGTCTTTAATGCATGTTAAACTCTCAGAAATTCGAGGTGGAAATGTTCCGGAATGTCAGTCAAAGAATAATTTTCAGCAGAAGACGATGTGAGGTAATTATTTAATTATTGTCGACTTCAAACCAAAGGAAATGGCGTCCAAAAAGTGTTTTATATACTACCACGATTTTAATTTTTAGACTGCATTTAGAAGACGCCTTAGTAATGGCGCCCGAAGTGAATAATTTCCGTCGATGACAAAATGAAGGATAGTGGCTGTAAATCGTGTATGAATATTAGGTTCAGTGGTTTTATATTAAATGGCGCCCAAGGTTGGGTCAATAGTTGCAACAATAGTCAAAAATGTTGCCTAACTCATTTTGAGAGTAGAAAATAGTTTTTCTCTTAACTTCAAGCCAAAGGAAATGGCGCCCAATATAGGTTTTAAAAACTACCATGATTTTAATTATTAGACTGCAATTAGCAGACGCTTTACCTATCTTGTTTCAGGGGAATTCTATATTCCATATCTGGAATGCATTGTGGTCGCATATGGAAAGTATTGTATGAATCCGGAGGTAGAGATACTCAACGGCGGATTAATAACATTGAGTCAATATTATTGTCTAGCATTGCCCTTGTCATAGTGGTTTTTAATGCCTACTTTGAATGTCAGCCGCAAAAATTAATACCTCATTGTCTTGCATGAGAACATTATGATACGTTGGATAGGATAGTTGGTCACAGTTCTTCCTACATCTGATCTCTATATAACTGCGGGTTGAATATCCAAATTATGCTGAGCTTTAACTTACAAACTCAAGGTCCAAAGACCTGGCATTGGAAGTGAATAGATTAGTAAGTGAGCATAAGCGGAACATCTGTGTCGGATCTAGCTTCGCTTCAGTTAACTGCACAATCCTGCTGATTTTCGAGTCGCATGAAGGAATTTCCGAGATATTACTGCTCTCTATATAACACCCAAGCAGACGAAGTGGGAATAGCAAATGGGTGCAATAAGCGTCGTCGTACGAACCCTACTGATCTATGAGACCTGACAGTTGGAAAATATGGCTTGTACATCTGAAGTGTTGCATCATCTTTAGTGGGTCTATCGATACTTAACAAAAAAGTGTAATTTTTTTTCTGAACAAATGAAAAAAGGATGCTGCGACTTCTGTTTGTTTTCACCATGATGGGATGACAGATTCAAAGGTGTGTGCAATTGGGAATTTGTAGAGACATGAGAGTAACTGGTCTAACATTGAGTCGCATGGGAACCGATACCTGTATCAGATTCAGTAAATTATGGACACATTGCTCTCGAACCAAAGAAAAGAAGGATGTTATTCGTTTACAAATTATAAGGTGACATATCAGAAAATGTATCGTCGATTCGTAGAGTATCCTCAGATTCCTCGACAGAACCAGAGACCTCCATTGGAGATTAACAGATTAGTCGTCGTAAGTCCTATTTAGTTTTAAGTTTAAGTTTAAACGGAATTGGTAAAGAATTCTGAGAGTGACAAGTCGAGTATTGTTTCGTATAGCAGCTGAGACCGTACCAGATTTCGTAAATTACGTTCCTTGATTAAGGCGCTCTCTAACCGAGGAGAAAATAGTAATCGGACTTATGTCTTATTTAGCACTGATGAGGATACATATGGACAGATGTACGGCTTAGTTTAACCGATGATTTGTAGAGTATCCTGAGACCTGATATGGGAGGTCAGTTGATTAGTGGGCGATCACAAGCTAAAAAAACAGAAGAACGTCTGTGCCGGATTTGATACTTGGCGCTATCATTGGTTGTCAAATCTTCCTACCAAAAAATATAAATATGGGTCGATCTCTGGATCCAGCATAAAGGTGTTCGGACGGTCCTAGAATTTTCAACTGAAGTGTGTGTAAGTTGAGATTCTGAATTTATATATAAGTCCATATCACGTAGCAATCATACACAAATTCCGCTTTATTTTCGGTAAGACCTTCAGTACATAGTCGAATTTTCTGAACCTAAGTGTCTGCAATTTGGTATTACTTCAGAGGATACAAAATCTTCTGACAGATAAACCCGACCGATTTAGGTATTTTCCCATTTTAGATATTTGCCGGGTTCTAGGTCGATTTTGTACTCAGTCGAATTTTTGCCAATCTGAATGTCTGAATTTTGTTTCCAAAGCGATTTTAAATATTTTGAATGCAAAACTCATAGTCGAGGGCATATTTAGTTCGGAATGATCGAACTAAATATGTAGGAACGAATTTTGAAACAGGGCAGAACTCTTACAATAACATAAGTATGATAGGATCTGTAATAGATTGATTTCATTGCTTTATCCTGCTAATCTATACATATCAATTAAGATCGATTATATCGACCTCCCCTTAAGTCCCCTAATACGAGCACAAGGGCATAATGAACCCCAATCAAGTTCTCATTTAACTACGATTCTCTACTTACTCCAAAATTGACATTTTCGATGGTATTTCACTCCAGAGACGGGCATATTTTACCGGCGTTACCGGTTCCTGGGGATCACGATCCACATGCAGATGCAGCATTAGACGACAGAACGAAGCACGCAATTCATAGGGCATCGTTTCGTCGGACATGCATCTGAAAAATGAACAAAAGAAAGGCAAAATTTTATTTTAAAGTTCGGGACGTGGAGAATTATGGGCGTACGAACTTCAAAATCAAATCAATATCCAAATGGGGTGATAAATCATTCAGGGCCAAGTACTGGCGATTCAGACACATATTCGAAAATAAATTCAACTGATGGCGATAATAGTTGAGAATGGCAATTTCCTGCTCCTTGCCCTGGGCCACACAGTTGGCTAAATCGGCAATTGAACGGGATTCCTGCAAAGAAAGAAAAGAAAGGGTTAAATCCGGGGGAGTTTTGTGGTATACGAAGTTAGGGTATACCTTTAGACCCTTCCATTTCAAGTGAATTTCATATTTAACATTATCGCCCTCCTGCTCATTGTCCCCCTCGAGGCTACGCATATCCCAGGTGCTATTTGTTTTGGTGGATATCAAATCAAGTTTGTCATCATCGTCAAGGACTTCGGTTAGAGGCGATAGGGGTTTGTTCATGTCACTTTGTTTGGCGAAGCCAAATTTAGGACTCTTGACACTTTTCACTATGGTACCAATCAGGATATCGGAATTTTTCGAACTCAAAACACTTTTACAAATTAATTCCTGTGTGACCGCAATTGCCTTGCGATTGGAGACACACAGATCGGAGAGGTAGTCCAAGAAGCGTGAATCCCAATTATGCATGTTTTTGCGTACCAGCCCTACGAAGGTTTCAATTTCCGCCGCCGTGATGTGTTTCTCAAGAAGTTTACGATTATTGTGCAGCAAGGCGGTGATTGTATCCTCGGCGAGGATATCATAGCCAATTTGTTTTTGCATCAGCCCGAAATGTTTGGCAATGTATTCCTGATTTTTACGATAATCTTGTTGCGACAAGCGCAAAATGCGATAGCATAAACGGAAGATGTTTTTGTAGGGACTATTCTTCGGATCACTAAGCTCATCTAGCCGTAGGAAAGGTCCATCTCCCCCGGGGTGTTTCTGGAAGGGCCCCTCTAAAATTCGGAACAGCTGTTTGAGTATGTATTGTTCACGAAGTAATTTTTGACGATCTCGTATCGGATTTTTTATGGTCAATTCCAAGGCTTTTGTTTTGTTCTGTTCATTTTCCATGCCCGCTATGAAGTAGACTATGTCCTGCAGTAGGGAGATGAGGGATTTCCTTTCATTGATCGAAATGGTGCCATTGTCCAATTTGGCTGTGACCAATACCAAGACCTTGCAGGCATCATTGGCGAAATCTAAATCACGAACTTCTACGGGAGGTACGGGTATCAAAGCGAAGGCCTCCTTGTCTTCCTTGACGGGGGAGCAGCATACCTTGGACATTACCGGTTTATCGTCATCGATGTCAATGGGTATGGAAGTGGCATGTACCCAGGTATTGGAGCAGAGATGGCGTAGCCGTACATAGCTAGATTGCGGCACAAGGCTATCTGCCCTGGCCATGGTGGTGGGGTCCAATTCAAACACGGTGGCAATGTCGGTGGAAAAGGGTACGGAAACCAAACGGTAGTGTTCCAATTTACCTTTGTCTGGAAAGAGGGGGGAAATTAAAATTAGTTACTCCAACAAGTTCTAAAATAAATCTCAACACCTTACCTATCATCGTCGAATTACAGCTAATACCCGAATCCTTGGCATTTTCCGCACTAATGTTAAACAGCTGGGTAGGAGTCTGATGCATTTGTTGCTGCTGCTGCAGCTGACCCACACTACTGGCATTTGCCCCACTGCCTCCCATACCATTTTCAGAGTCCAGCTCTGCAGCCAAATAATAACCCGTGGCCAAATGTTTAAAACGATACAAAGAATTCCAATGTCCCGCACCACCACGACACGAATCATGTTGTACCACTTCGATTTCCCACAAGGCTTTACTCGAAGTGGCCGCTGTCGCACTTGTCCTACCCGTTGTCCGCAAGAAAACATGTTGTTGCTTCTTATATTCATCCATGGTAAGGAATTTCTCCTGTTCCGCATGAAAGAGACGCACAACATCTCCACCTTTCAGGATGTGATCTTGATTCTCTTTGTGTTCCATGAAGAGGGTAATCTTCCACGAGGTGGACGAATTCAGGACATTAACCTCCTTACAGCCTGGATTATCGGGAAGCTCATAATTGGCTGCCACATGGAGATTTTGTTGATCAGCATTGACGGGATTCAGGATGACCTTATCGCCCACCACCACATTATCTCCCGTAGAGCGTAATTTATAGAAGGGCATAATATAAAACCAGGAACCCTCATTGCCATTGGCATCTAAATACACCCGCATGGCATTTTTCTCCAACAGGGAGGGTAGACGTTTGTTTACCGTCAGGTATTTGTTGGATTTCAGATGCAGCAGTTGGACCACATTGCCATATTGGATGGCGGTACCCAAGAGCTTTTTGTTTTCCGTTTCATTTTGTTTCTTTTCGATTTCGGCAGCGTGCTGGAAAGAGGAAGAGGGAAGGGGAGATATTAGAAACTCATGAGAGACTAAGGACTTGCACAAGGCGTGGATTTTTAAGGACCTGGAAGGCCGTCCATGGCTATATAAGACCTGAAGGGCTTCTATTGCCTATAGAAGACCTGAAGGGCCTATATTGCCTATAGAATACCTGAAGGGCTTATATTGCCTATAGAAGACCTGTAAGGCTCCTATTGCCCATAGAAGGCCTGAAAGGCTTCTATTGCCTGTAGAAGACCTGAAGGGCTTCTATTGCCTATAGAAGACCTGAAGGGCTTCTATTGCCTATAGAAGACCTGAAGGGCTTCTATTGCCTATAGAAGACCTGAAGGGCTTCTATTGCCTATAGAAGACCTGAAGGGCTTCTATTGCCTATAGAAGACCTGAAGGGCTTCTATTGCCTATAGAAGATCTGAAGGGCTTCTATTGTCTATAGAAGACCTGTAGGGCTTCTATTGTCTATAGAAGACCTGAAGAGCTTCTATTGCCTGTAGAAGACCTTAAGGGCTTCTATTGCCTATAGAAGACCTGAAGGGCTTCTATTGCCTATAGAAGACCTGAAGGGCTTCTATTGCCTATAGAAGACCTGAAGGGCTTCTATTGCCTATAGAAGACCTGAAGGGCTTCTATTCCCTATAGAAGACCTGAAGGGCTTCTATTGCCTATAGAAGACCTGAAGGGCTTCTATTCCCTATAGAAGACCTGAAGGGCTTCTATTGCCTATAGAAGACCTGAATGGCTTCTATTGGCTAAAGAAGACCTGAAGGGCTTCTATTGGCTAAAGAAGACCTGAAGCGCTTCTATCGGCTAAAGAAGACCTGAAGGGCTTCTATTGCCTATAGAAGACCTGAAGGGCTTCTATTGCCTATAGCAGACCTGAAGGGCTTCTATTGCCTATAGAAGATCTGAAGGTCTTATATTGCCTATAGAAGACCTGAAGGGCTTCTATTGCCTATAGGAGACCTGAAGGGCTTCTATTGCCTATAGAAGACCTGAAGGGCTTCTATTGCCTATAGAAGGCCTGAAGGGAATCATATTTTTCCATCTATACTTACATGTAACCTCTTCAATAAATTTGTATCCGTATTTGAGCTGGCTGATTGTTTGGCGGCCTTCCAGAATTGTTTCTGGGCCGAATACCGATTCATGGGACATACTTTTATTAGGCAATCTGGGGAAAAAAGAAAATCAACGAGATGAATCTGAAATCTGTTCTAGGGTGTGCTCGTGTCTCACTTACCTCGAAACTTCTTGGGTGGAAAATTTAAATCGCCTGCCTCCGGACATACCACAGTACGATCATCAACCAAACTGAGCGGAAATAGATGAAAAAGTATTCATGAAATAAATTTTGGGAGAAATTATGACTCCAAAACTTACCCAAGAGTACTGAGAAATCCGCAGACACTACCCTCCGCAAAAAGTGAAACAATGTCACCCAAATGCAAGAAACTTGCCGAACCAATTATATTGTCACCCATTGTTGACACGTTGTGCTTGTCCACGCTGTGTTGACGCAGCCGAATGGGCGAATGTGGTAATGGGGAATAATATGAAAATATGGAAGAAAAAGAAGAAGAAGAACAACAAAAAACATGGGTTTAAATAAATATGAATAATCGTTAATAACTATTTTGGGAAAATTACGGAAAACATGCACTGAGAGAAAACAGGGGTTATAAAGAAAATACAGACCTCAACTTGAAGGTATATTTTCAAAATTTAGAGAACATGGGAACTGAGACACTTCCTATGTTGTTGAAATGTTTCTTTGTTTATTTTTCTCCAAGTGGATCTCCTTATTTCTCTCAGTGTATTTATTTCTTTTTTATTTCCCATTGTGTACAACACTTACCTCCTTCTTACCTAAGCACAATGTCGCTTCCAGCTACCACAAGTGTCCATACATGTGATGGTGATGAAGAAGATGGCTGCTGCGACTGTTACTGATGGTGCTTATGACCCAAGTGGTTATTCTTCTTCTTCTTCTTCAGAGCATACAAAGATATCAACAGCAAACATTAACCAGAGCTGGCATATGTCAGCCTGCCCAGTAACAATGGAATAAAAGATACTTGGATGAGGGTCCTTCGGGGCAATTTCTTTTGGGTAGCAAACTGTTGCAAATGGTTGCTCGTTTTTTTGTGGAGGGGTTTCTGGTCTGCTATTCTTTCTTTTGGTAACTTTTCTACTTAATTTGTTTTAGGCAATGGTTTCTCTTCTATGCCTTTTGTGATTCTGCTAATGGTGAATGAGAGGGTTGAGCTGCTGGGTTGTTGTACTGTAATGGATAGGAAAAAAAGAATAACAATAAAATAATATGATAATGGTTAGAGGAGAGCAGATGAGGGAAAAGCGGAAAATACAGATTTTCTTTAGTTTAAAACAAATTACAAATTTTTGTGTCTAAGTATGGAGGCTGGCATGGAGAACATGCTTCATAAATAAAAGGTCACATATGGGAAATATAAGGCCCATGAACTTGAGGAATAAACATTAAATTTAAATTCCGATTTATGTGGATTTTATAAGGAATATTTTCGAAGGATTTACACAAGGCGTGGATTTTATAAAGAATATTTTTGAAGGACCTGCACAAGGTGTGGATGTTATAAAGAATATTTTTTCAAGGGTCCTGATGATGAACGAAACCAATATGTTGTGCTACAATTCTTTTCTACACTGTAACACATCATAAAGAAAAAGGTCACCTTTAAAAAGTCTCAGCAACATTCATACCGAGTCTAGCAACATCTTATTTACGTCCGGCAACATACTGGTACATACGTATGTACATATGTTTGATCGTCACCAGTTGGTATCATACGAACATCATCGTAGGAATATCACCGTTAACGTTCTAATGCATAAACAGTGATATACACATAAGTTTAAAAATGTCATATGCGTATTCTCGCTCAGCTTCTGCCAACAATGCTGCTAATAGTTATTGTCTTTTTTACTTTCATGTACTCAATGTTCAAATATACATACGATATGCACATACTTATATATTTAATATTTCATCAGCCTTCGTACAATATTACGTGTAATAAAATTTGAATTCCCTTTACGAAATTACTTTAGCTTTGCCCTTAGTAACAAAAGGTTGTACATCGTGAAATAAAATTAGCAAAAATAAAGTCGAATTAACCTTATGATTTAATAAATCTGGTTTTATTTCTAATCATAAGAGTTTGGTCCTGTGCGAGTCGGATCCAGTATCCTACTTATATAAAAGTGAAATATAATTAACCAGTTTAATTCAAAACCGTGAATCAAGAAATAAGTTTGTGAAATGACAGATGATTTAGCAACATTAGTGGCATACCGTGGCCGTATGAAAAGCTCATTGACTCGTCTTCAAACTTATTCGGAAGAATCCATAGAAAAGTGGAATTATGAGCTCGTCGTAAGCAGATTGGAGCGGTTAGAAGAAGTTTGGAAGGAATTTGTCTCGAGTACAGACAAAATGTACATGTATAGAGGGGAGTCGGATTTTTCAGATCCAATCACAGATTTCCACCTGTACGAAGACAAATTTGTGGCAACACGAGGTAACTTATATGGGTTGAAGAAAAAGTTAGCTCCAGCAGCAGTACCAAGCAACAATGATGCTATAGATCAATTAGCAAAACAACAGTCAGAGTTCTTGCAAAAAATGGGTGACACTTCATCGTCAAAATCGAGCGAGCTTCCCAGGATAAGTATCCCACCATTCTCCGGTTCATACAACAATTGGAACAGTTTCAAAGATCTCTTCGAAAGCACCATCGATTCGAAGTCCAACCTATCAAACATACAAAAATTCCATTACCTCAAATCTTTGTTGAAGGATGATGCAGCGAAAGTGATTCAACATATTCCAGTAACTGACTCAGCATACAAAACCGCATGGCTTCGGTTAAATGATAGGTATGATCGACCAAAACATATTATAAATTCCTTCATCGAAACCTTTATGGCACTGCCGACAACCTCTACCGAAAACTGTACAATTTTGAGAAAAATTTCCGACGGTGCTAACGAAATTATCAGAGGTATGAATGCTCTTGACCACGATGATAGGGATTGTTGGCTGATATACATATTGCTTGGACGAGTTGACTCCGAAACTAAACGCCGATGGATTCAGGATAGTCGAGATAACACTAGACCGTCGATAGAAGATTTTCTACAGTTTTTGGATTGCCGTACCGAAGAATTGGAACTTTGCCAGCGAAAATCCAATCAACCTAAACACTCACATTTTATGAAATCAACATCAAGTTCAACGAAATGTCTGGTGAGTAACGATAGCAGGCAAATTAATCTTTGCTTTATTTGCAAGTCTACTGACCACATAATCTTTAAATGCCCAAAATTCGTGCAACTTTCAATTGAGGAAAGACGAAAGATTGCCAAGGAATCATCACTTTGTTACAATTGCCTCCGAACAGGACATTCTGTTCTTAATTGTTCAACAAAGAATCGATGTAAAATATGCCAGAAACGTCATCATACGCTACTGCACGTAGCAGTAGAAAATACAGAACCAACGAATAGCCATGCTGCAGATGCCCAGAGCAACGCAACACAGGCTTCTATAACGCCGAAAGCACCTGTCCAATGGTCAACTGTAGCAAATATTGTGAATCCATTGTTAACCTCATACACCGTTAACCAAACTAACGGTAATGAATACATTTTGCCAACTGCACTTATAAACGTTAGAGGTCATTCAGGACAAACGGTAAAATGCCGCGCATTGCTTGATTGTGGATCCAAACTATCATACATAACCGAATCTTGCGTGCATCGTCTTGGACTTCACAGATCTCATTCCAAACTTGTCGTAAGTGGTATTTCAGGAGTTCAAGCCAATACTACAAGAGGATCATGCCATCTCAGTATCACTTCAAGAGATTCAAAATACTCCTTAGAAGCAACTGTACACATCTTGCCATCCATAACTACACCACTTCCAAACCATTCGTTTCATAACCAGGCTAAGGGCCTAATCCAAGATTTGCACCTAGCCGATCCTGGTTACAACATTTCATTACCGATAGACATATTGTTCGGTGTCGACTACTTATGGAACATTTTTACATTCGATCGCCGGGTTGATTCTCAGGGTAACACACTCGCATTTTCTACCATTTTTGGTTGGGTGGTCACATACATCGAAACCCCTACAAACGTGAACCAAACAACATCGTTACTGTCTACTGTGGATATCGACCGCAGTCTTAGACAATTTTGGGAAATGGAGGAGCCAGACAGAAAACTTGACGTTGATCCAGATACGGCCTATGTTGAAGAACATTTTCGTCGCACCCATAAACGTGACGACAAAGGAAAATATATTGTACAATTACCATTCAAACTTGAAAATCCTTCGTTCGGAAACACATTAAAGGTGCCATGTACCGATTCTTTGCTGTGGAAAGAAGATTGCAACGAGATTCCAAGCTCAGAGAACAATACATAAAATTCATGAGAGAGTACGAGGATCTTGGTCATATGAAAGAAATAAATTCCAGTAATGCAGACGTTCCTCCTGGTAAGATATTTTATTTACCACATCACCCCGTAGTTGGAGAAAAAATCCGAGTTGTTTTTGATGGCTCGTTCAAAGATTCCAATGGTATTTCTCTTAACAACACGTTACACATCGGTCCAAGTATCCAGCGAGATTTGTTCTCCGTATGCCTTCGTTTTCGATTTCATCGTTATGTTTTCTCTGCGGATATTGTCAAAATGTTCCGCCAAATCTGGGTTCACGATGAACATAAAAATTACCAACGGATTATTTGGCGCGAAAACCCAATGGATGTTCTGAAACATTACCAGCTGTGCACAGTTAC